CCCCCCCCCGGTCCCGCGCTAGGTTTGGGAGGTGGCTCTTGTCGACCATTCCTGTGGTAAATAGGGCGTCGGAACTAAGCCACGTCGTTTCTCCATCTTTTCGTCTCGAGAACCTCGCCTAAGCACTCGTCACAGCGCACCATCAAATCAACAGAGGTAAATCCCTCGTCGCTCTTGCCCGTTCGCCTTTTCCTCGCGACGCGATTCAGCGAGAAGAAGATGTCGAGCTGTACCTTGCGCTGCTGTGCATTCTTGGCGAAGACCTACGCCTCGTCCTCGACGTCCCCAAGGTTTTCGGCCTGATCTACTGTGAGTTGTGCGTTCTCCGTGAGCCCCGAATCCCCCCGCGCGCACGCTTCCATGTTTTGCTCGCTCTCTGTTTTCGGGTCCATATGTTAGTGGCTCCTTTGCTACCCTATGATTGTCATGATCTATTCCGTACGTCCTGTATCCAGTTGCCCGATCGAAGGGTCATTTCGCCTGGTGCTCTCCCTCTCCCTTCGTGACCGAATTTTTTTGTTCTGTCTTTGGAACACATGGCCGACCAGCGGGGGTGTCGGCCGAGTCCGCCCTTTGCCGAAGAAGGGGCCTCCACGTTCTGCAGCAAGTCCTCGCTTGGGCCGACGACGATTTGGCCGGCGCTGCCGTGATTGACGTCGGCGGGGGCGGCGAGGGCGAAAGAGGAGAAGGACTGACCGCACAGCCGCTAGATCCGTCTCCCTCGCGTAGATTATCGCCGTCGGGGCAAACGTTCTCAAGGTGCGCGACATGGTTTAGTATATCGTTTATGCCTCTGTGTCACGCAGCCAGTCCCTTCTGTAGGCTACACGGGTGATTCGCGTGAGGCTAGGGTAACGGAGAGGAAGCGGCGCATTCTCCTTACCTTTACGGGGCGGTCGTTTCCCGAGGGGGCGAGAGATCGAGGACCTTGATTTTTAAGCCCTGTGCGAAACGCTTCTCCTACGATGCTCTGCCGGGTGAAGGATCTCCCTTATTTTTCGCGTTGATTCTCTCTGTGTCTGGTGTGTATGGGGGTGTGGGTTGTGTGAGTCTGACGCTCGTTGTGTGAGGGTATGGTCTGTGACACTTTGGCAAGTGTTTTCCGGACGCGCAAGATGCCGCGCCTTGGATTTTCTGCGATGAAATCGTCACGTGCTCGTATGGATTTTGCGGGCATGCTCTCTCTGTTGTTGTTGTTGTTGTTGTTGTTGTTGTTGTTGTTGTTATCGTTGACGCTCATCTTATTCTTCCTGCGGTAATATCATCTTATTCTTCCTGCGGTAATATCAGGGAAACATTGCTGCAGTGGAAGGACTACGTGAGGTGCCTCCAAGTGTTGTGCGAAGAGACGGAGCTGCATCTCGTGGATCAGGTACTACCGCCAGTACGGCTGTAGAAGCACGGCTTTGACTTCACCCCTTCGGAAGTCGTACGCATTTCCAAATATGTAGTCTATCGCTCAGTAGTCCTAAAACAGACGTCTCCGGTTATTTTGACGTTGGCACTTGCGGGTATCAACTATTTTCCGTCCTAGCTCCGTTCAGGTTACGTGAGTCGTGTGCGCTATAGTGCTATCTTCGCCGACCCTCGCTGGTTCCAGAAGCGGGCATTCCGTGCCCGTTTTTGCGATTTAGTTGTCACCAACAAGCAAAAACCTGGGCTCTTGGCGGACTCATGCAATAGATGTTGGAGTTCAGCTTGTCGCTCAGCTTAGCACGTCATTGTCCGGCGTGTTCATACACCTGGCTCAAGAGGAGCATAAAGGGTGCTTGGAGGTACGTGACCGGTGGCCATGACTCTCCGCTATTTTCACCCCGCCTGTTCACCACAATCAGTATCTCGAATCAACCGTATATGACACAAGATAACACATCCCCTTGACCGATTTTCGAAGCTCGATTTTTCAACTGCCGGAATAGTCACAGCGCCGAAAACGGCAGCGTTGAAACCGTCTCGTCGAGAGCTTTTCGAAAATGTATCATCCTCTTCGTCGTGGAGTAATTGAGCTTTGAAAATCGGTCCAGGGGGTGTGTTATCTTGTGTCATATACGGTACATGATGGAAACAACAACCCGTCAATAAAAAAACGCTGTCTTGCAAGATGGTGGTGGGTCAGAAGTCCTACCCGCTCGGGGATGCACGCGGACAACGTCGTTGTAGCTCAGTGGTTAGAGCACCTGTCTTACTCACAGGGGGTCGAGGGTTCGATCCCCTCCAATGACTTTCGAAGTCTTTTTTAACTGTCGTGTTTCTGCAAGCTTCTAGGCCGCCTGCAGTCGTCTCGTTTTGCGGTTCGCCTATCGCTATGCCGCCGCGATTTTTTTCTGGAAATACACAATCACACAACAAAAATGCTCAGGTGGTACCGACCATGGAGCGCTTGTGCAGCAACCTGAGCCCGCCCCCCACATCGTCAGCCGACGCCACCGACGCCTCCCCGAAGGCGACGGAGTTCCGGTGGGTTTCCGTCCCTCTCGGCATACTTCTCCGGTCGGGGACTTTCGCTCGCCGCCGGAGGTTCCTGCACCGCTTGGTGAAGCGCGAGCTCGGCCTCGGGGTGGATGACATCGACCGGGTTGGGGGGGGCGCTGCAGGGACGGAGGACGGCGCTGCTGCTGGTTCTGCTGCTGGTTCTGCTGCTGCTGCGCTGTCGCTCATCGACGAGACGTGGGTGGCACGGGTTCTCCTGCCGGCCTTGGACCACGTCGGGTGGCACAGGTACAAAGCCCTTATCGGTTGCGGTATTTAGCAACGGCGTCATCATCATCTCGTACGTATCCATTGTTTATTTCGACTCTCAGCAGTCACCACAGCGTGGCACCTGTTCGTCCGAGATCAGACACTCGCTTCAACGCAGTTTGAACGTGCTTCACATGCTTGTGCGTTCGGTTCTGTGCATCATGTTGTGGTGACAAACAAGCCTTCGAGCCGCCCGTGCCGCCCTTAAGGCCAATCACACCACACCACAGCAGTGTGTGGCCCTGCTGAGCGCTCCCCTTAACCATCAGCCTCCGAGGGCATCTCGTGTGCGACGACCCACTTCCAACTTCCCTCCGCCGCCACCCCTCTTGTTTCATGCATTTCCTTGCGCACACCAACAGCTCTGCGAGCAAGGCAACCCTTTTCGACTTCTCGGAGTCGGTGACCGACTTCCTCCACGCCTACGTTGCCTCCCTCCCGGCCCCGAGGGTGACGTCATTCCTCGCGTTGCTGCTGGAAGCGATCAGGCGGCGGACGGTCGGGTCGATAGGCGCGCTGTGTTCCTTCCTCGCGGCGTTCGACCAGCGGGGGGCGAGCGTGCCGGCGATGGGGCGTGAGCTGCTCTACGATCTGAAGGAGATGCTGCTGGGGGTGCTCCCCCCGCTCAATCAGGTTGGTTCGTTAGTTGGCTCGAGTCTTGTTGTCGCTGGCTGGGGCAGCCCCTCGCTGCTGCCTTTGCCGGAGAGCTAGGTCAACGATTGTAGCTTCTTTGACTCTCAAGGTTATGATAACCCCTCCGCGCGCGCCCACCCCTCCCCCTCCCATAACGCATTGCTCAATCTCTCTTGATACCGGGAGGGGGGCAGGGGGGACCTACCTGACAACGGTGGCCGTGTTGGAAGGGATGACGATATTTTCGGAACGCTTTTTTTCCGGGAACGCGCCCGGTGTTCGGTGGAGAACGTTCATCTTATCTTTTCACGGAAACGTGGAGCTTCATGTTACGGGAGACTTTTCCGACCTCTCCCGTAAAGTATTTCTTTGTGTTCCTTCCCACTCCGATTACCATAACAACGTGCCAAGGCAGGTTTTGCCGGTCCCAGTTGCCTGACTTCCCCCCACCCCCTCTTGCTCCTAGCAGGCGAAGCGCGTGCTATTCTTGGACGGGGTTGTCCGCCTTCTTGTGGACTACACCGACTACGATGAGCTGGCCGTGTGCTACTCTCAGCCCTCCCTCTGCCCGTCGCTCGGTCTGGTAACCTCCGTCCTCTCGGCTCTCCCGCTGGAGCTCGCTCGCGACCGGTATCTGCCGCTGCTCGCGACTTGGGTGGGGCGCTTACCTCTTGGGCTTGACGACGACACCCCGCTAGTGGCGGCATCCGTGCAACACGGAGCCGGCGCCCCCCCCCTCGGGTTGTTTACGAGGCGATTGGAGGCGTTTCTCGGGAGGAGCCGCTCGGCTAGCCTCGGCGACGGCGGCGACGGCGGGCCGGCGGGCTGCTACAGCGGTGTCGCGGAGGGGAGGAGCCTTTGCCTGCTTGGCCTCGTGCTGTCCGAAGGTCTGGTGCTTCGAGAGGACCGTGCCGAGGTGGGGTCGTGCTGCTGCTGCTGCTTGCTGTGGTAGGCAATGCACACTTCGCGTTTCGCGTGTACTTTTCGTCTACTAATGTTATTGCGCTTGGTATCGCGGACAGTCCGTTCGCACCCGATGACGATCTTCCCTCCCGCAGCTGGTCCTCCGAACACTGGTGGCCGGAGCTGAAACCGCAGCACCTGTGATGGTAGCGTGTCGAAATTTTCGTGAATGAGTAGTAGTAGACCCGTTCTGGACCTTTCATTGGTGCCGCGTTCTGCGGAGCCCCCTCGATCGTAGTGTAGAAGCCAGCAGCCGAACGTGTTGCTGATTGACAATTGTATTTTTTTTCGCACGAAACTGCTGTCGATTATCTTCTGTGTGTTCGCCGTGCAATCTACCACAACAAATAACGCGTCATCGTCTTCCTCTTCGTCGTGTCAAGATTCTCGCGAGCGGGTTGTCGCCCCTGGTCCGAGTCCTCCGGAAGTGCTGGCACGAGCCCTACGTCTCCCCCGAGACTGTCGAGGCGGCGCTCGTTGTCTTCGGCGCCTGGGCGGCGGTTAGCGACGACACCGGCAGGGACGACGAGAGGGGGGCCGGGGAGGAAGACGGGGGCGGCGGCGGCGGCGGCGGCGGCGGCGGCGGCGGGGATGGGGGGGCGCGAGGAGGGTGGTGGAGGTGGAGGCCGCTGGAGGCAACCGTCAGCGAGGTCGTGACCCTAGTCGCGGCCCGGCTTGTTTCACTGATGGAGGAAGGGCAGGAGGAGGCCGTCACCGCCTTCACAAGCTCGCAGCGGTCGTGCGACGCAAGCGGCGGCGGGGACGGTGGCCGGGCGGCGGATGAGTCCGCCACGGGCCGAGATGCCCAGGTTCTGCTGATGGCGCTCGACGCCGCCGCCGCCGCCGCCGCCGCCGCCGCCACTCCTTGGGGACTCCGCGGATATCACCACCAAGCCCCCCCCCCCGCCGCTGCGGGTCCGGCCTCCTCGTTCTCTTCGCACCCTAGCGTGGTTGCCCTCGGAGACAAATGTGTGTCGCTGCTGTCTGCTTGCGGAGGGGGCGGTGTTCGCCTGCCTCCAACAACGCATCTCTTGGCTATCGCGTCCCTCGAAGTCACCGTCCGAGCTCGCGGCGGTGGCGGAGGTCTCCCCGCGGCCGGGTGGGACAAAGCGCGGTGCAAGGAGGTGGCGGTTTCTCTGCTCCTGAACAAGGTCGAGGGCCGCGTTACGTCTAGCTCGACTGGGAAAGGTGACTAAGGTGCCGGGCCACACGAACAGTAGAAGTAGTGGTAACACCAGAGGAGGCTCCAAATAGCGAGTTCGTTCTCCGCGGCGGTACCGGTTCTGCCCGATGGAGTCGAGCGAGAGGAGTGCCAAGTGGGGTTAGCTGTTTTTTTTAGGTTCACCTCTCTCATCAACAGACGGCGGTTGGTCGCACGCGACACATTGGTTAAATAGTCACATTTCGCCTCTTTGTTTTGGTGTTGGTTTCCGCCGGCCCGGGGATGGGGGAGGCCGCCGCTTGTACCTGAACCACTTGGTATTCTTGACAAACCTGTACAACATTCTTCATCACTGGGGAGGGTGCATTCGTTAGTCCTATATCTTTCAACACGCCAGGCTACGAGTATTTTTTAGATAGTCGGCCGGCGGCGACATGGTCTTCGGACCGTGTTGTGCCAAGAGAGAAGAGGGAAACAACCCCACGCCGTCGCCGTCGCCGTCGCCGTCGCCACCGCCTACCCGCGCCGCAGGCTCCAACTCTGAGTGGGGCAACATCTTGAAGCAGCACGAGCTGCGGAAGTGGAGCTGTCTCTCGGCGCTGCTTCCGATCGTGTTCGGCGAGTCGGGGGCTACGGTCGACCAGGGACCCTCTGTTCCAGGTGTGCGCCGCTGTGCCGTGTGCCTGCCGTGTGGGCGCAAGTGCTTTTTTTAGGGTTGGGGGCTGGACCAGTTTTGTGGACTGGCTCAGTGTGTACCCGTACAGCCAGTACTTCCTCATGTTACGTACGTTCCACATAATGCCTCCTAAACCACATGGAAACCCACCAAGTCACGCCGCACGAGAGGGTGAGAGAGGAGCGCAAGCACGAAGCACACACGTCCGCACTCAAGGGAAGGTGCAGCCGTGCGATCGATGGACGAATTTGTGACTAGCAGCGATGTGCCTGCCGCGCACCCGGGCGGCGGACCTCAGAGTCCAGAACCCGCCACGGCCTCGAAAAAAAAACAGCCGGGCCTTCTTGACTCATCATTTAGAACGGCCACAGTTTAGTATGCATATGTAGGTAAGAATTAAGCTGCTTTTTTTCCCAAGCAAAAGATGCAGGCTAGCCACCAGCAGCGTGATCTTAACTAAATGCATTCCAGTTTTGCTGTCGATATTGCAAAAAAAAAAAAACAGAAAAAACGAAGCACACAAACTTGTTGCAGAAAAACGAGAACCATCTTGTGAAGGCTTTCAAGTTGAAGATGGTTTGGAAGAGGCTTCATGGTAATCATGTTAAATTCGATGCGTGTGTCACAGCCAACCAAAGCTAAATGCTGAATCCTATGCGAGTTGTCACACCTAACCAACGCTTTAAGAAAAATTGCCAATATTTTACGGTATACGACACAAGATATCACACCCACATAAGATAAGACACCCCCCACAGAATGCCACACCCGGTAATATTTTGGACCTCAAACGAAGAGCCAAAATACCACCCGGGTTATATAAGATAACATACCTCCTGAGGTTAGGCCGCATGTCATCACGGAGCCCCCACTAATATCACTCCGGTGATAAACAAGCACCAGTGGTCGCTGATCACCCACAGGATGGCTCGCCAGGGAACACCCCCAACACACCCTCTGGGTACGGGGCAACCGCCCCGGATGGAGTCCTCCAATGATCCTCGCTCGATCATACCCTCGTTCTTCCGTCAACGCGAGCAAGGTTCTACACCTGTGGCTCCTCTCTCCCCTGCTGCTGCTTCTGTAGCTGCGGCTGACAAAGCTGGCACAGCAACGAGCGCCAATGGGGCAGCCACCACGCTGGCTCAGCAGCCTGCCGCTGAGTAACTCTCGGCAGCACCCTAAGATGCTGATGATGCAGAAGAGTCCATGCGCACCAGTCAAGCCTCCGACGAGGACGAGGGGGGCAGAAGCCCAGCGATGCTGTCGTTCTTCCTTACTTTG